CTGAAATTCAGTCCAATTTTGCCAACCCAATTCAGAACCTTGCAAAGTGAAGATTTCACTCAGCTCAAACTCCAAATGCCTCATGTGAAAAAAAAATATAGAAATCGAATGTCAGAAATTTACAGATCTTGGCTCACAACTTCTTGTAGTGTAAATCAATTTGGCCTAGAATTTATTTGATGAAATATGCCTCCTGACAGTCTGTGTAGGTGATTGAAGCTACAGAAACATTTATATCTGAAAATATGAGCTGCCAAAGAGAATCAGTTTTAAAATTATGTCCATAAACTGCAGTAGGATTTACTCAGGGGATGCCATCTGCTGAGGATATTAGCAATTTTTAGGCCTTCTGTAATGACCTTTTTCTGATGCACCTCTAGCAGTCTGTATCATATACAGAACCAGATGTTGAATCCCATGTGGTGTGATGTACGAACTCTGAGCTAGAAGGCATGAACCAGTGCCAGTCTACTGAGACTTACTGGTTGGGAACCATCAACCATAGGTTTATCTAAATGGCTTTGAACAGTGCGAAACACTCAAGAGACCAGGCACAACTCGTATGACTATCTCCATCACACCATGTAGATGTGACATGTCCTCAGCTGCCTAGACCTAATGGTCTGTGCTGGATGTTTGGGGTTTTGCATGTCAATTCCCTCCCTGGTTTCTCTGTACAAACATGATGGACGATGAGAGGGACCTGTTTTAGATGACAGGACTTTTAAAAATGTATCTGATTATAACTGTTTTAATTATATTTATAAAGTCATAGGCTTAACAGGAGAAACATGACTGATTCCCATGACTTAACATGTTTAATAGGAAACATTACTGATACCCTTCTTAACTTGAAGAAAAAGACCTACACAACATATTTTTTCATTCACCGCACACTTAGTTTGAGCAAACATTTCCTGAGGCCTTATTCTGGACCAGTGAGCATGAATAAGCACCATAGTGCTTTTGCTAAATGACCAGACTAATATAGCATCAGTATAGTTAATGCATCATTTGTCATAGTCACAAAGATGGAAAATACTTTCATGCATTTGTTTTTATTTGGGTACTGCATACTTTCAGCCGCCATACTCAGCAGGAAACCTAAGATTATTAGAGCACAAGCAATCTTTGGACTCGAGATAAAATCTGAAGATGTCTCTATCATATGTTGTGATCAGAAAACTAAACTCCTTGCAGCTACTTTAAAACAAAACTGTGCACCTTCATCAGTCTTATTTTGAAAATATCATATTATTCATCAAGATTTATGAGCTTTGGTTTGTGTATCAGTTAGGTCTAGAATCTCATTCCCTTCATGTGTCTGCACATTATTTCAACCCATGGCAAATTCTACACTAATGACACATTCAAGAATGTCATTAGAGAATGGTCATATCCATGGCAGACACAAATATTGAAGAGACAGAGGACAAATAAAAATGATGTGCATTTTCAGAAAAGCCCAAGCACATCCAGCCACACCTACATAAACACATTACTCACACGAATCAGTGAACAGGTCAGGAATAGCAGCACTTAAAACACATCAGAAATACAGTGAAATTAATAAAAAGGATTCCATTGATTTCTGTGAGCTTTTCATGAGGCATACCTGCAAATTATGCAACAGAGATTTAACCAGCAAGTTCTTCATGGGCATTAAAATACAGCTGCTTTCTTAAATTAAAGAACCTTCCTCTTTATTTACTGCTTGAGAGGAGTGAGGATGCTGGGTGCTGCAGTAGCCCAGCCCATGTGGTTTGAGCTATGAAGATGCTTTCTGTGCTTGTCTCCTTCTTGCATTTCAGTATTGCCCAGCACATCTATTTGGAGCAGAATTAAGTGTTTGCTCTCAAAGCAAAGCCCAAGGAACGCAGAGGGAATGAAAGGGTCAGCAGGACTCTGCTCTGAGAAGCAACTGTGCAGTGCCTGCTGCTGTTTTTTCCTATTCCATCCCACAGCTTCTATATTAAAGTTATTCGACTTCAACCTTTCACTTTGTTGGGTGTGTGATGTGTGGGTGCTCGTTTATGATGGAGTTACAGATAAATCCATTTTCAGGTGTAATTCCTTCACTTCAGACCATTGTTTTAGCTTTATCATCCATTTCTCCTCATCTCAACTTTTTTTACTAGGGTTCTTTCCAGTTTCCCAGTCTACCGCACTACCTTCAGTTCACGGCTAAAAAGCAAACCATTCTTCTTACACTGCTCTGTCCTTCAGATGATGGGTTCACAGGAAATCCTATAACCTGAAAAAGTTATTTTAACTTTTTGGAAGACCTATTCTGTTGTTTACATACCTCATTGCAATTCCTGTCTGCCTTGTGGGCTGCATGTACTGGATGTACAACAGCACATTACTAATACCTTAGATATTGCAGAAAGATTTGTTTGCTTAGGCTTCTTTGTTGCATCTGAAATCATTTATTGATGCCAAATGCTAACCCAGAGATTAACATTTGTTAAGAACTTCCTGGGCCTGACTGGTAAAATGATTAAGGAAAAGAAAAGATGTTTTATGATGCTGCAGAAAATGCAAATCTTCATTTTAGCAGTTCTAAGATCTAAAGCTGAAAAGAAATAACATTTTAAATGGCCAAATTGAATGAACTGAAAACTGCACCATCCAGAAAACATTCCGTCTGACTCCCAATTGACATCTTAACTAAATAATTTTAGTAAACAAATAAGAAACAGAATTGAAAAGAGACAGATTGAAGGGGAATGAAAATGTCTGTATGAATGCTGAATCCCATAGTTTTGTCAGTTACAGCTGATATCAGAGAAATGTGATAATTACCAAGTAAATCTCATACTCATCATGACTGGAAGGTCTTTAATGCTGGCAAAACAACTGCTGATCTTCCTCAATCAACTTCCACATTGCAGGAGAAGGGTGATATTTTTCATCTTTGGGTTATTATACAGTTATTTCATTGCCACCTTGATTTCTCTTTTCTAATCCATTGATGAAGTAACTATCCTACGAATACTGTGATTTAGCGCCATGTCAGTATGCAAGTGATGGAGCGCTATGGCCCCTTACAGCAGAGCCTTCCACTCCATTTGGTGTGTTTAATCATCTGGCCTATGTTCATGAAGTCTTTTTAATTTAGTTCCTGCTTTCTAAAACAACTTACTGTAACATTTCAAGGTTTGTTTCATTAATTGAAACATGAGGTACTATTGACTACAGGCTGGCAGATAACCTGTCTACATTTTTAACTGACTTTCTCATGAAACTAGCAACATCCTTCGATGTTGCTCCTGAGATTATCATTTACAACATTTAATATAAGGTTTTTTCACAAGTGAAAAGTGAGATTTCTCTCAATCTCTTAGCTGTTCATCTCTGCCCTGACAATTCATATTCCATTTATATATATATGTAAAGGATGATGCCTGACAAAGAGAGTGGATAATTGTAGTTGTTTAGCATGATGGCTTGTGTTATATATTTCTGGTTTTCACCTAGGATAGTGTATACCATATAGAGATTTTTCTTTCCTAAAATTAATGGATGTACTTGAGTCTCTTTATACTCATTTCTTTCAAGCTCACACAAAAACATTTTAGACCAAAAGAAAGCTGGGGCTTCTGGGGCTTGTCATGAGTGCAAGACTGCAAAGGCCTGATCCAGTAGTCCTGAAATGGAAAGGTTTCTCACTGACTTCAATAGCCATGCTTACAGCAACATGGCCCCATGGAAGTGACCTAAAAGTTTTTGTCAAACAGCATATTGCTTTTCCTCTCAGAAAAATGCTAGTCAGATCTTCTAGGAACAGAGACCATCCCTGCATCCCCATGGGAAAAGACAGAGTCACGGCTGCGCATGTCCCAACAGAACAAATGCACCTACACCTACACTTACACCTACACTATGGCTGCCATAGCTGTCATCGTTCTACACTGGAGCTGCAGGTATGAGGCTGATCCCCAGCAGGAATTGAAGCAAAGTTTGCCAGTAAAGCATTGCAGTTAAACTGTACAGTGGTTCAGAGGCAGAGTGAAAGAGTGTGGGAGGAATAAAGAACAGTTCTTTAATGGGGAGGGATTGGCTGCTCCCTTCATCATCAAGCCAGATGCAATATATTCTGCTCTCAACTGTTTTAGTACCTCAATAGATCAAACCTATCAACCTTTGCTTTTACTGGAGCTCTTTGATAGAATTATACTTTTTAATTGTATATTTAATGCCTGACCAGTGAGAAAGACAAAAAGAACAAGTTCACTGCTTCTCACTACCTTCCTCAATGAAGCTGATGAAGATTTTTCCTATCTTTGTGCTTTAAAAATTACTTAATAAATCTTTACAGACTGAGGAACAGTAAAAGCTCTAGTGCTCTTTTAGGCAGAAAAACCCAATATATAGGAGGATAAATAATTTAATACATCTCACCTCACTAAATAATGTTAGCACACATTTCAGAGAAATGTTGATGTGAAAATCAACACAGACATATTAAAATATTAAACAAAATTTGCCTGATATATTTATTTATTTTTATGCTTTCCACATGTTTAAATAAAAGTACTTTCAGGGCATAATCTGTATGTCAGTAATACAGGAAAGAGGTAATCAGGACACCTATATCAACATTGTTTCTACTTCGAGCTGATAGTGAACAGAAGTAGTGCAAACACATAGTTCTTTCAATTTATCCTATGTATAGCAAAAATGAGTTTTTATACAAGATGTTACAGTGAATATATACTGAGGGAGTAGCATTTTTTTTCAATGGTTTCTGCAGATTAAAAGGTTGACTTAACTATGCATTGCTAGGGTATCATTCTTAAAAAATCAAATATTTACCTAGAAGTTGCCATATTTTAGATCTGGATTTACTGAACAACCCTCAATTTTAGGTGCAAAGACAAAAAATCATCATATTTAAGATCCAGATTTAGTGAACAACCCTCCATTTTAGATGCCAAGACAAAAATAATCATATTTTCCAGTGTAATACCTACTAAAATAGCCATGATTTCAGAGATTATTAATATGTGTGATCTCATTTTAAAGTTTTAACTCATTTTAACTACTAAAATGTTTTTGAAAAGCTTTTTCGATAGATTTTGGTGAACAACATAAAGAAGGAAAACACACTTCAGTCTTTCAGACACTTTCAAATTGAATCAGAATCAGAAAACTGTTGCATTTTATTTCCACATATTCCCTCACTAATAATATCATTCCACCTTCTTCCTGTGATCGCTTGTGAATTCACATATTCACATCAAATTGCACACAGTCTAAATTTTGGGGTTTCAGTGTGGCTTTTTTCCTCAATTCGGAAAGGAAAGGAGGCTGGGAATTCAGTGCCAGTAAAACCCATTTCCTCCTATGCCTGTGGGGTATTCCAGACCACCTTTCCTCCCTCCAGACTGCTACCTGCCAAAACCTGTGAGCAAGCGGAAGGAAGGGAATTTTCAGTTCCCTTGCTGACAGTCTTCTCTCAAAAAGTAGCTCAGCCAGACGACTAAAGGCAAGTAAGCAAATCTTTCTAAGTAACATCTGGGAAAGCCAAGGTAGAAGAAGTCCTGATACCACATCTTACATTAATGATCACTGCATTAAAAAAAAAAAAAAAAAATAAAAAAGACTGAGGCAAACAACAGAACTCAAAATAGTACCTTATGATGCATGAAACAAAATTATTATTAGTCTGACATAAGAATTTACATAAGACAAAAAAAAAGCCTCCACCAGAGAATCAACCATATATCTTAAAACTTCAAAGCACAGCTAGAAATAAATTGACAGACCAGTCTTTGATTCTAACAAGGGGCTATAGCCCACCATCATTTATAGGCAAGCAGAGTTAGACAAATGTTCTCATAGAAATTAAACAATGCTATTTTTTTTTTCAGGAAAATATTGATTTCCATACTGTTTCTCCTGAAGGAAATCATGAAAATAAAACATCTTTATAATACTAAACCAAATACATTTGAATATTTCAAAGAAGATACACAAATTGTGGGCTTGAGGCCTGATTCATTTGCCTAAATTTTAACAACATAGGCCTAAACAATACTGATGCACCTGAAGGTTAAGTAGGGTTTGCCATGTGTCCTGGGTTCAGCAGTAGCAGTCATTTTTCCCCTTCTTGGTAGCTGGTGCAGTCCAATGTTTTGACTTTCAGCTCGGGAACAGAGCTGATAACAAGCGATGTTTTGGTTTGGCCAAGGACTTTTGTGAGCCTCATGCTCTTAAGACATTGACCCAAACTGACCAAAGAGGTTTAAGCCCAGGATGTAACTGGGAAGCCAAAAGACTGCCAGCTTGGTCGGGCTGTTATCGGTCGGCTGGTGGTGAGATGATGTATTCTCTTCCCTTGTTATTTCCTTTATCATTATTATCATTGGTGGTAGCAGTAGTGATTTGTGTTATACCTTAGTTACTAAACTGTTCTTATCTCAACCCATGGGAGTTGCATTCTTTTCGATTCTCCTCGCCGTCCCTCCGAGAGCAGGGGGAGGGCAAGAAAAGGGGGGGAAGTGAGCGAACGAATTACCTGACTGGGTTTAAACCGCGACACCATGCATCTCCATTGGTACTAGATATCTAGATTTAGGCAACTGAACCAAGCCTTTTTGTCTTATCATACTTTAAGATTGTCGTGGTTTAAGCCCAGCTGGCAACCCAAAACCATGCAGCCGCTCTCTCACTCCCCCCCTTTTTGGCCTCCCCCTGCTCCTGGAGGGCTGGGGAGGAGAATCGAAAGAATGTAACACCCATAGGCTGAGATAAGAACAGTCCAGTAACCAAGGTATAACACAAAACCACTACTGCTACCACCAATAATAATAATGATAACGGAAATAACAAGGGAAGAGAATACAACTGCTCACCACCCTTCCGACCGATACCCAGCCTGACCCCAGCAGTGATCTAGCCCTTCCGGGTAACTGCCCCCAGTTTATACAGTGGGCATGGTGTGCTGTGAACTGGAATACCTCTTTGGTTAGTTTGAGTCAGGTGTCCTGTCTCTGCTTCCTGCCGTCTTCCCCTCCTCCCTGGCAGAGCATGAGACTCAGAAAGTCCTTGGTCAGACTAAACATTACTAAGCAACACTTAAAAACATCGGTGTTATCAGCTTTGTTCCCAGGCTGAAAGTCAAAAACGCAGCACTGCACTAGCTACTAAGGAGAAAAATGACTGCTACTGCTGAACCCAGAACAAAGATGAAGCAAACAATTGAAAAATGTCAAAATAGCCTTTAGGATCAACATTCAAAATATTAACTCATCTGTGGAAAATAAGTGCTTTCCATTAGTGAGGTGACTTTTTTAATACAGTCAGCTGAGACCCAGTCCATTACAAGATTAGAGATTAACCATAATCATACTCTTTGAATAAGACACTTGGACAGTCAGGACCAGACTAAATACATATGCTTATAGAAGGAAAATATCTCTTACTATCAAAAATACTATAAAGACATTACATGGTTACATCTAGATTTATTTGTCTTGGCTGTGATGTTTTTTCTTTCTCTTGAAGAAGTAAACTGCCCTGATTACTTTTAAAGAAATCTTTCCTCTTAATGACTCCACATTTAAAACATCTTTTCCAGTAAATGCAACCATCAAGGGATTTTCTGCAGATTGCAGGGGACATTAAAATGTCAATAATTAAACACTGCAGGAATAAGAATTTTGAATTAAAATGGCTTATACCTGCTTTTTATCTTCAAAGTATTTTGAAATGAACTTCCAATAACTTCAGGGGAGTTCTTTTGATCATCCATTTTTAAAATGAATGCAGGAGATGCATAAAAAGGATTATTTTCTTTTACCCCAAGAAATACTGGAGTTCCAGGAACAGCTTATTTGTGCTTATTTATTCTGATTGTCAATTTTGAGATGCTTTATATTGTGAAAACAAAGCTTGGTGTAGAAGAAATTGATGAATATAGGATTCCTCTACCACATTGATTAGATTTATTCACATTAGAAATGCATTGCTTTGTTTGTTAGTCAATATCCATTCTCCTGAAACTTCAGATTTTATTACTTGATGAATTCCACAATCATAGAGTTTTGAAATCCAGCAGTACTGCAAACTCCTAAAACAAATGTTTTCTTCACCTTTTGTTATGAGGATCAAATACTGAAGTTATTAGATTATCATTACATTTTCTTCAAGGTATTGAAATAGTGAAGTGCAGCCCACTGGCATTTTTAGCGTTTTGTTCATTCAATACCCTCCTTGTGACTTTCAAAATAAGACAGAGTGGGACATATTCAACTGAAATTCACTGCCAGATTCTTGAACCATGCCTACTAATACACTTAACTGGCTTATCATGGCTATTCTAAAATATTTCTTCCTATTCCTTTAAATGGAGCATATAGATCTTTATATATGTGTCAACAGTGAGAAGCATTTGAAATACACTAATATAGTATGCCAGGAATAAAGCAGCACTACCTACAGTAAAACATATATATTAGAAATAAAAAGAGACATGGCATCAAAAAGGGCAATGTGACTTCTGCTTTTATCAGTGAATGTAAAACATGGGTAAGCATTTTTCATTTCAGTAGCAATCAATTCATAAATATAGAGACATGCATCACTAGCATTTGCAAACAAACATAGCCTCTTTTCCAAGAGCTGAGAACCTCAAGTGCAGTGAATGATGCTTTTCATATTCCAGTTCAATATATCTTATATTTATTTTGTACTTGCTTTCAAAGTAAATTAGGACTGCAATACTATTTATGTAGGTCTCCAAAATATTTTTCATATAAGTGCATGCCGAGTCACACAAGCTGATATTTTTGTCTGCTCTCAAAATGGTTCCATAAGTCTCAAAGCTATAAAAGAAGGTAACAATCCAGTATATATTTTATCAGCACCTGATTATTCACAAGACTTTTTTAATCATACAGTCACAGCAGAGGCCACTTCTTCTTCATATACATATGGCTGATCAAATACGTATGGCAGTCACTGATTCTGATTGGAAAGCCTGAATTAAAAATGTCCTCTGTTGCAACCTGGATCATTAAGGGACAGTTTCCAACAGTGGACAAATCAGTGTAAACCTGATTGTACTGTTCTTTTCTGGGAATTATACGAGTACAGCTGGCTGACCTATCCACTGTTACATCTCTTCAGTTCTCTCCTTTTGTCCGTAAAATAAATCTGTCTCACATTCTACCAAAATTAAGATATATTTCCTGATCCTCGTGTTTCCAGTGGTCAAGTGTCTCTGGAAGTTTTCTTCTCATTTAGTCAATAGTAAATTGGGTGGTATTTAGGGCTTCCAAATACTTTCCAGTTTACTAACCTTTAGCACTACACTAAGGAGAAATGTTTGCTGCTTTGTTGCTCAGTAATGCTTTCTGCTACGAAACAAAAGCTTGGACCTTCACCATCCAAACAAAAAAAAGAGGCATTTCCTTCTCTGGACCTCAGGTCCCAGGCTGAGCTCCTGACCATGCAGCAGTATACCAACAGCTTTGCTGCAGCTTAGGGACCAGGAAACTGCCCTAAACATATTCTCCAGCTCATTTGGCACAAAGCAGGGTGCCATGGCCCTGCTATGCCTCCTGCCTCAGAAGGAACATGTGTATACATGCCTTGAGGAGCAGGAACTGGGTGACAGCAGAGGCACATCAGACAGCACACCAGAAAGGCCCAGGATGTTTTCAGCAGAAAATCACCACAGGCAACATTACCACATGGAAGCATACAAAGCGCTTTTCTCTCCTGTCACTTGCTGTAGTATAAACCAGGATGAATCCTGTGGAGCATAGTCAATTTAGGCTGGTATTAACCTGGAACAAACATCTATATCTAGCCTCTTTATGTATACGGACAGACAGGGCTTTGTTGTTGTAATTGTTTTGTTGGGTTTTTTTTAAAGATGTAAGTTGCATAAATTTCATAATCATTTCCTCTGTCTATAATGGCTGCAATCTGCAGTTCAAGAAGATTCCTAATTAATATTAATTCCCAGCCTGTGCACAGTGTTTTGGCAAATAATTAAGTCTGAAGGGATGGCCAAACACACTGATCTTCAAATTTTGAACAATTTAATTACAGGCTTGCTTTCTGTGTGGAGCTGCATAAGCTATGAGTTTAGTAGAGAGTATCGGTGTGGTCCTGTTACAGGCGCTATCTCTTGAGCAAACAGCAGAGTCCTCAGCAGGCTGGAGAGCAGGCAGCCCAGGCCTTCTGCCTAAAACCATTTGATTTAAATTTTGATCTAAATGAAATCCAAACTGTCAGATTATGTGAGTGATTGTTTACTTAGAGGCTGCTCTGTCAGACTGCTGAGTTTGCTGTAAATACCTTCCTATGAGAAGCTGGCTAACAACTGAAAGCAGAAAGTAGACACTCAAAAGCAGGAATACTTTAAATTTTAAATGAGTCCATCAATAAAGAAACTTCCTTTATCACAGATTTACAGAGTAATTTTGCATGACTATGCACAAGAGAAATTGCCCTTTTTAGTCTTTTAGAAATTCAGCCCTTTGTTAGATATGTTTGAATTTATTTATTTTACTCATTAAGTTAGAGTGGCTAACGTTAAGGCCACCTTCAAAAACAAGTTACTGTTCTAGAAAGGAGGAAACATCTCCTGTCCCAGCCTGTCATTCATTAGATGTTCCTCTGATGCCAGGTAATGGGACCTTCACTGATAGGGGCGCTCTGAACCCTTTAGTCACTCTCTTAATACATGTTCCAAAGAAAGTTAATATTAGTAAAATGGCTGTTATATATCTCACCCAATTGCTTCTGCCCAGTCAAAGGTGTCAAAACAAACTGATCAAAGTACCAGAAGGAACAAGACTTCTAACTTGTCAGTCCCTGCCCATGGCAGGGGGGTTGGAACTAGATGATCTTAAGGTCCTTTCCAACCCTAACTATTCTATGATTCTATGACTTAACTGATAGAGAATGATAATACAGTTAAATAGTTAAGTGTGAAATGGTAAGTAACAAATGCTATATAAATGATTAAATGTGTTTTCACAGGTGTTTCAGGAAACCCTTACTTGTAAACTCTTTACTTATAACCTAACCTTAATTGTGGTGGATAAAAGCCAAGATTTGCACCTGCTGGAATTGCTTAATATAAACAGCATGAACCAGAACATCTGACTGGGGTGATCATGTTTAAAGATCAAGAGAGGGAATAAAAAGAAAAAAAAATCTATGCTGCACTGGTATTTCCTCACAGGATATTCTCTGCACTGTCTCAGCATGTTTCCCTACTTTGGTATCCAAAATATTAGCTATGCACATAATTTAACCATTGGAAGAAGAATTGATCTTGAATAGCAGCAATAAGCATGTGTATCTATCTGATCCGTGCTGACACTCCCAGACCTTACACTTGACTCTGGCTCACGGCAACATCATTAAACAACAGTACTCCCCAGAGAGCTCAGGCGTGCTTCAATGGGGATGCTAGCTCTAGGAGGGCAATGTTAAGAGAAATATATGTCTCAGATGTCCCTCCGCAGTGGACACCAAACTGTGGTTGAACAGGAATGTGAATCTGTTTCAGAGGAGGTGCAGTTGACAAATGCCACAGGTATTTAGTCTGTTTCTTGTGTTGGTATTTAATGTTTATGCTGGTACACTTCCAGTAAACATCCACACCTACCTAGAGGTCTTTACAGCACTGAGCTCTGAACAAGGCATTTGTGATCCATAAGTACTGATGTCAATTCAAGAGTTGTTAAATTTCATTTCTGCATAGTATAAATAAAATTTCTTCAGTATGAATGTTTTCTTTATACAGCTTATAGTTAATTTGTATGGCTTCTGTGTTTTTATTTTCAAGACTGAAAGATTGTTAAAGTTAGCTGAATCTACAGCTATGACAAGCAAGTAGAATACAAATAAGGGAATGTTAAATATTGTGCTAAACCAGCTTCCATTTCCAATACTTGCTGTAACTTAAATGATCAAAGACTGGTAACAGATACTATAGGTTTCTGATTGATTATGGTCTTCCTATTGCTAATTGATTATTTCAGTGGGTTACCGCTTTCTGATCTCCCGAATGTTCTGTAAACTTAAAATCAGCATTGCCTTTGCATGACAGATATATAGCGGGCTACAGTACGTGCTCTTACTCCTGCTATGAATCTTTTTTGAGTTAAACGCTTCTTATTTGGAAAAGCCCACGTTCACCACATTCAGTAGATAAGTTGTTACTAAAGGAACACTGCAATTTTGACATGTTTTACCTAATATTCTTGGAAATCAACATTAGCCTCAATACAAATGTGGAGTATAACCTACCGGACACTGCAGGTGTTGAAAAAATGGATACGATCGGAAAAAAAAACACAGCATATGAGTCCATATTCCTCAGATGTTTTGTGAAGAGCGGATGGAAGTAGCATCTTCATCCCTTCCTCCCTTGCTTCCTCTCTTCCTCCCTTGCTTCCTCTCTCCACCTCTTCCTTGCTTCATCTTTCTTACTGGCAAACATGAGTAAGAATGAGTAAAATGAATTAAGAATTAATTTTATGACACATTTTTTCTGCTTTGAAAGATGCTTCTAATGAGCCATTTTCACTTAAAAACTTTGCTGACACTTAGTGATTTATTGATATTTACTGATTTACCATTTCTAAATATAAGGCTCCATTCATCAAAACACAGAAGGACATGCATAAGTTTAATTACATGTTTGAGTTGAAAACCAAACCAGACAGTAAAATGTCAAATGCATCTCTTTGACCTGCAGGTGATTCTCCAGTGGACTGCATAAAGTGTACTGACAGATACTGCTATAGCAGGGAAGTAATGCCTGCTAGAAGTCACTGCTCCCAACTCATTCTCAATGGTGGGCTCCTTTCTGGAATATAATACAGGATGTAAATAGTCTCAAGTCATCAAACAAGTGAAATATTACAATGCATACAGAGTATCAGAATTCTTGGCAATAATCTAAGTGCATGTGTGAAAATTACTAATATCTAATATCAAGCTGGGACAAATGAATATGATAAGAAAAACAATAATGTTCTTTACAGGGCTTTTACTGGTCCTTACTAGCAAGGTCCAACATGACATCAACAATGTGTTGACTTGACAGATACAAATAGTGTATGTACAGTCAAGGCCCACTTGATAGTAGTGAAAAGGCTTCTTGGTTGTATTGCCCTTTTTGGTGGAGGGACACTATTCCTTCAAATTAAATACATGAAGAAATTCTGGATCTTCTCTGACACCATTACTAGAAGTCTAGTCTCCAACCCTAACTATTCTATGATTCTATGATTCTAAGTCAGGTAGCTCTTTTCGGTATATGATGAAATTCACAGACACTGGGGACATATAAACATCAATGATACATAACCACCACGAAAATTAAAAATATATCAGGAAAATATTACAAGAGAGATTAATATATATAAAAGAAGGATGAATATAAAAGGGATGATTTTCAATTGTAACATTCAAATAAGCTTTCAGCTGTAGCAAAAGCTGTATTTGACATTATACAAAAAGAATGGAAAGCCATTTGTAAATTTTATATTAATATAGCAGAGATTGTTCTTTATTAAAACTAGGAAAGAGTGGATTAGCAATGCCACATGGGATGCTATTACAGAAAAAAGGCAGAATAAGTTAAATCTACTCAATACATTAAGGCCAGAAAAATAAACAAAGAAAAAGGGAATATAGGAATAAAGATAAAACAGTAAAAAGATTAGCCAAAAAAAAAAAAAAATTAAAGAGGCTCTCTTGATAGACAGGAACTGAAAGCAGAACGGCAGCACTGAAGTGACACATGAGAAAATTTTATCAAACTGTTTGAAGTCTTACTGGAGATTTTAAGCCACAGCAAGGAAAGTGCAGTAAGGAGTAGTGACTGGAAATCATGAATGTCAACTTATTCTAGGGGTACAAAAGAACAGAAAGGCAGAACACCTCCCAGGCAAAATTGCAAGAAAAAACACCTTATTTTCCTAGTGAAATATGGCAGAACTCGATGCCTGTCTTGAAAGAATCAAATCTTCATGAGCTTGAAGCACCCTCTGAAAGACAGAAGAATGCTAAATTAACAAATACAATTCAAATCACTATAGTATACATATGAGGAAATAAAAAGGACAACATGACGTTTGGACATGTCCCTAAGGTTTCATGTGAAGCAGAAATTGGAGCACCTCCCATATGAAGACAGGCTGAGGAAGTTGGGGCTGTTCAGCCTGGAGAAGAGAAGGCTGCGTGGAGACCTCATAGCAGCCTTCCAGTGTCTGAAGGGGGCCTATAGGGATGCTGGGGAGGGACTCTTGATTAGGGACTGTAGTGATAGGACAAGGGGTAATGGGTTAAAACTTAAACAGGGGAAGTTTAGATTGGATGTAAGGAGGAAATTCTTTCCTGTTAGGGTGGTGAGGCACTGGAATGGGTTGTTCAGGAATGTTGTGAATGCTCCATCCCTGGCAGTGTTCAAGACCAGGTTGGACGAGGCCTTGGGTGATATGGTTTAGTGTGAGGTGTCCCTGCCCATGGCAGGGGGGTTGGAACTAGATGATCTTAAGGTCCTTTCCAACCCTAATGATTCTGTGATTCTATGAATCTGTTCTTGTTCCCATAGAAAGTCTTTGGTGCAGTCAACTATACTGCTTTGAAGTTGTCACTCATAGCAGACTTGGGAAACATGACAACATTTGCTCTCATTCATCTTGTGCAGACACAGTCTTCCTCTTACAAAGCACCACAGAGCAGTGTACAAGATGGTAGATGCCTCTTCTCCCAGACTGCATGAGGTTTGATGATTGATTATCATGGCAGTTAATACCAGCCTTTGAAATTCCTTGGATAGTGATTCAAAAAATTAAGATGTATGCCATGAAGTAGATACAGCTGGGAGGTGATGAACCATGGTGCCAAAGACTGCATCATCTACTCCCCCACCCTTCATTGCAATGGCTTCTGTTACTTGATCATTACTGTGGAAATGGGTATTTCAATATAAATGAAGAGGGCAGAGATGTAAGGATTTCCAGCCAAAATCTGTCCTAACTAAATCAGTTGAAAATCTGTCATAAGAAAGCTTCTTACACTTATGCCAAGCAGGCCCCACAGCTAATAAATTAGAGGTAGGCAATGTCACAGATGATAAATTATCTACACAGAATTTTCTCTATTTAGAAGCTGAAGCTCATACAAACTTGCAAAACCTAAATCAGAATGCAAATAAATGCATGCTTAACATAAGTTCAGAACAATAAACTACTTCCCATACACATTACTGTGCAGAAGTCTTGCATGATTAAAAAAAACACTGAAATTAAGGGGAAGAGTCCTCAAATGCAGTGCAGAGTCCTAGAAAAATAATGCACTCATCCTGTGCAAATGGCATAGCTATCAGTACAGGTGTCTGTAAAGGCTATTTAAAGTACCAACTTAATAAATAAGAAATGAAGAAGCCTTAAAATGAATACAGATAATGGAAACAGTACAAATAGGGAAAAAGAAGAGAGGGGACAGATCTATTTTTCATGACTCTCCAGTAACAGGGAGAATCAAACAAATACTTCTGTGGTAGGTTTGGTTCAAAAGGGCTGAATTAATGGTGCTCTGCAACACAGTTATGGTTGATGTGATTCTATTACAAAAGCAAAAAAGACTTCCAGAAATGAGCCAGACAGGATATGGCTGACTAAGATTATTTGACTTCTGTTTCATGGTCTTACCAACAACAATGACACCGTTTAGTAAAAGCTTGAAAAAGGGTTACAAATATATCAGAGAAGAAAATTGCATTAGGGAGCTGAACCAATAACTTTCTTCATTCAATTTTAGCTCAAGCATAATGCTAACTTCAACTCCATGATTAAGTTTTGGTTCTGCATCGAGGAAAAAATAATGAATAAACTGGCTTTGGTTTGGTCTTGATATCTTAATTGTCAATGAAATATTCTTTCACACAGAAGAATGAGTTTGAAACAGTCTCATTTCAATCAAAATTTTCTCCTTCACTGGATACTGTAATAAAAAAATAATAGCTGAAAAAGATGTCAAAGTCCAAAAGTTGCTTTAAAAAAGAAAAAGTGGTTTTGAAAGCCATTTAATTTCCATATTTCTGATGAAATATTTCAAATATTCACAAATAAATATAAATTCTTGTGGTATTATTTCCCCAAGCATTCTTTCCCATTTTGTGGAAAGCTTTAAATATTTTTTTTAGGATTTAAAATGACGCTGTGATTAATTTTTTGGTGGTTAGTCAACAAAGCAAGAACTCAACTGGTCCAAATCACATTTTCAAAGAAAAGGTCAGCTGATGCCTAGATGTACAAAACAGTCCAATTATCCTGTGTCAAAGGAAAAATGATCAGGTGCTGTCATGAAAACTACAATGGAAGCAGGTTGACACTTACGTTTTTTGAGAATTTGGTTCCTTTTCTGCAAACTAAAAGTTTACCCTCATTTCTTTCAGTATTTCTTTACAGGTTAATGTCCGTTTAGTGCTATAGAATTTCACAATAGTTCCCTTGATAACAGTATTTACTTCTTGAAAGACCTGAACTCTCCTCCAAAGTAACTGTTTCCTTATATTTAGTCTCTTTCTTTCAAGATCCGGAACAGGCTACTTCACTATCCTATTTTGCTATCACAGGGTTTGTACTGCAGCTTATCTATTTAACTACTTACAGAGATTTCAGCTGACCTGTTCTATTTGATCATGGCATCCTGAGCAGATTTATAATGCAAATTGTGTCTCAGAAAGTATATAGATGTACAAAATGTTTCGTCAGCAGACAGTTTCTAGTACATTTGATAAGACTGCATAATTTTGCCTATTGACGTAAAGCTTAGTTTGAGAGATTAAAAAGAACTTCCAAATGTATAATAAATCCAGCTGGCCTATAAATCTTTTTGTTTATCCAAGACATATTTTCAAAGTCACAATGGGGGAAGTAAGGACCCCAGGTCCCACTGAAAATCAAATACCATTCCCTTTATTAAGAAAGCTGACATATTCCCTCCATAAATCATAATGTTGCTCTTCTGTGGAGGGAGGGATTATTAAAAATAAAGTGCAGTGAAGAGCATTTAATAGCATAGTTACAATTGTGATGACTTAAAGATATAAAGTATAAGATGACAGGTTTGTATGGGGACATAGTATTTTCCACTAACTCATCTGATATGTTTAGGAGTTAAAAATAGACAGGCTTTCAAGCACACAAGTTCTTCAGATCTTGAACAGAAGAGACAAAACATGTTCGGAAGTGCAAAGCACCTAGAACACTTTTTACTGCTAAATCTGTGTTTGTGCAAGCATGGCATGACAACGCTATTCAAAGCAGATGTTCAGATGTTCTTATACAACCTAGCAGAAGTCTAAAGATCTGGATGTCAGCAGGAAACTTTCCACCAACTTCAGTGGTTGGGTTGAGATCACCTTTGGTAATTGTCCCTGAGTTTGGACGTGACTTCTTGAAGCCACAACTGGCCAGTCTCCCAGTGACAGCTTTTGGATTTCCCAAGATATAAAACCAGGTGAAGGTCATGGGTCTGGCCAATAGTGTCTTCTGGTAGCCCAAACTGAACTAAAGGTCAGTCCAGTTTGAGAATCCAAGTAAAAACCAACAGGAATTAGAGACAACAATCAGTCAGAAACAGTTCTGCTCCTTCAGGATCTTCTCAGCCTGCTGTGATGGCCGGTTTGTATTGGGATGCTGGAAGAGGGAACCGAAGCAGCAGTGACAGCATACAGGTAGATTGGTATAACACCGTATCTACTGGATTACTTCAGGAAGTGTGGTCTTGGGTCAGTTTAAGCCAGGACCATCTTACTGCCTAGAAGAGCCTCATACAGCCTCTAAACCGCTTTATTTTTTTTAATGAGATCCTGTTAGCACCTACCAAGCATGAGCTCAAATGAGCACATTTAATTTATCTGCTGTCATTTACCCTGCTCCTACCTTTGTCAGTAGACTAAGCAGATTTTTATGAGGGTAGATTTTTTGTATCTGTGCCCATGCTCCATATACATGATCTGGGGCGACATATGGCTATTTAAGCAAACTGAATCTCAGTTACATACATAAAAACTTAAAAGTTACTTCCCTGGCTTCAGTGGAGTTGAATACCAAATTGTTTCAGCTTCAGAGTACAACTTCAGTGCTAAAAAAACAACAAAAAATGTGGATATTTTGCTCCAAATTTCTTTTTTAATTCTTTTTTTAAATCCCAATTGGCATTTCCTTATTAGAAATGCCAAGTAATAGCTCAGACATTTTGCTTGTCTCATTCTTTTTGTTATGAAACTTTTGCATTGACTTACTTTGAGCAAAGATAAGTCTTCAAAAGCTTCAGCTCTTTTAACCTGAAGCCCGAAATCATTAGCTGAAAGTTTATTTCAACTTCAAGTTCACACAACTTTAAGACATACTTGGTCAGTCTGACTTCATAATTACCCTCGTAAGGGAATTAAATATTGTGGGTCTTATATACCCCTTTTTGACAGTTAGTTCCTGAATCCCAAATGTTCATGTGATTTTTGAGTTTGTATTTATTGTATTTTAATCCCAGATGAAACCAGTTAGATCATACATTCCTGCTTTCTCCTTAATGCCAGTCATACAAAAGGTTACACTTGTCTACTCATTTTATGGATACCATTATGAAATTTTCAAATGTGAAGAATTGACCACAAATATTTAAGAAGCTGCTTCAGTGGCTATTCAGGTTTCATGCTAGAAATGTGCCATTTACTTCCTGTTTGAACTTTACTAACCTCAACATCTATTCATTTAGCCATCTTGTGGTTTTCTAAGCTTTTTTGAAGAGGCCTCTTTATCAGATTAATTGTATATTTAGGAGGACTTGAGGGGGCATCAGATTTCTATTTCCTTTTGTTATATATGTTACACTTTGGTTGTTCAGGTGATTACTGCCTCTGCATTTCACTCTTATCAGAGCTTGTTACCTGACACAGTTTAGTTCCAACATTATCGCCTTTGTCTTCCAGGTGCAGGTACAATGTGTTTATTCACAGAATCATAGAACGGTTTGAGCTGGAAGAGACCTTAAAAATTGTCTAGATCCAACCTCATGTGCCATAGGCACCTTCCACTAGACCACGTTGCTCCAAGCTTCCTCCAACCTGGCCTTGAACACTGCCAGGCATGGAGCAGCCACAGCTTCTCTGGGCACCCTGTGTCAGTGCCCCAACACCCTCACAGGGAAGAATTTTTTTCCTAATATTTAATCTAAATCTCCCATCTTTCAGTTTAAAGCCATCACTCCCTGTCCTATAACTACATGCCCATGTAAAAAGTTCCTCCCCACCTTTCCTGTAGGCCCCTTTAGGTAATGGAAGGCTCCTATAAGGTCTCCCCAGAGCCTTCTCCCGTCTGAAGAACTCCAACTCTCCCAGCCTGTCTTCATAGGAGAGGGGCTCCAGTTCTCTGATCATCTGGTTAATTAGTCTTCAAATGTAAAAAAAAAACAAACAAACAAAAAAAAAACAACCTTCAGACTAAATTGCTTACAAAACAGATTAATTAGATCATAATCTCTGGAGGAATTTTCATGCCTATCACAGCTAAGCATATTCACCCTTCATACTCCAGACCATGTACCTACACAGAGAACAGAGGAGCCAGTGCTGGTTGCACTAAAAAGATATCTGGAATCAGAGTATCCCTTATCATCCCACAAAGCCTCAGGCTGTTGTATTTCAACTTGTGCACCATTAAAATATCAAGTATTTTATTATTTTAAATGTTACACAGAGAAAGAGAAGTGCTCTGGAGTGCATTTGCCTTCACTACTCCCAATTTTGTGTTATAAATATAAACCTGGCAGTAAGAAGCAGAACATGTACCAGACTGTGACTCTCCCAAGACCTAGGGATACTGCATTTCTGGGTCCAGATGGGGCACAGGAGGGAGGCATAAACCAAATGCTCAGACTGTGAATGCCCACAGGCAAAACATCAGGTTCCTCTAGAAGTCAGGAGGGTGAGGATGAAGGAGTTTAGGCATCTCCAAAACTAAGTACTAGCCATGGAATCCAGTCAGCCTGTGGTTTTCAGCACCGCTGCATGCTGCAAGTTCTGCTGTAGATATCTACCACTTTACTGTATCTTTTACACTGTCACAATGGGGAAAAACACTCATCCCCTGAAAGCCAGTAACACTGCCACACAGCATAAAAGGAATGCATTATTCTGGATGAAAAGTGAATTAATTGGCTGTGGATGAATTCATATTCTGGCTCACCTTAAATGAACACAGCTAATCCAGTGGTTAGGGTTATGCTACTGTTGTTAGGATTATATAAGCACAGGCTTTTTGCAGTGTGGCACAAGAAAAGCAAGCGCAGCAGCAAAGAGACCAGTGGGACAGTCCTTGCTTTGAAGACCTTGTGATCCAGGCAGTAAGATGTGCTCCCAGAAGAGGCACGCTGTGTATGTGGCTGTTCTCTTTACATTCCTGTAACCCTCACCTAAGTGTACCACAGGCAATATCCAGAGGAAGACCTAGGGACCGGTAGCAGTAGAGAGAGCAGGTGGAAGAAGAGGCTTAACAAGAGACAACATATCCTCCAGCACAGGGCAGTGGCTTTTCTCAGGATCACATACCACCACAGACCCGGACTACACTGAAATGACTTCTACCCTCCAGTAGGCAGGTTCAGCTGAAGAAAGAGGCATGAAAGTGGCCGTGGCTTTATTTTTATTGTCACTTCTCAAATTTTGCATCCAAAGGAAGGTAACATAAGCACAGGGCCATCAGTGAAGGAGCTCTGAAGATGTGCTCCTCACAGCAGGCACGTAAGATGGATGGGGATGCAGCAAGCGCATGCCCCACTCCCCTTCTGCTTTCCTCTGTGGAAAGGGGCAGTGAGCTAGCCATATCCTGCTCTGATTATCTCTGGCTACTGATAGATCAAGCTCTCCTGTACCTCCAGAGAAAGTCCAGAAACCCAAACAGTGGAAATACCACCCTAAGTTCGCTCAGTGCTTCCCATATTATCGAGGTTTCTCTGCTCTCATGACTACAGCCAAACGTCCCAAAGATTTTCCCCGCTGCTTCCCTCCCAGGCCAGCACTCTGCCGGTGCGGGCTTGAACGGGAGAACCGTGGTGGGGGGGAGCGGGCTTTACCCTGGCGAGCAGCTACCCTACATCTGTGCTTAAACACGGCTCTACAGCCCCGCCAGGAGCAGCCGGGTCCCCGCTGCCCGCGGTCCCCTCAGGGCGGCGCGGCCCCTCAGGTAACGGCTGCACCTCACGCGGGTGGACAAGGCCGCCCCCTAGCGCGCCAGGCCGGCACCGCACAGCGAGCACCCTCGCCGCACGCCCGGGAGGTGAGCCCGCCGCCGCTCCCCACAGCACCGGCAGCTTCCACCCGCCGGGGCGGGCTCCGCCAGGGCCGCTTCCCCTCACAGCTGGCGCCGCGGAGAGAACAAGCACCTGCCCAGCCACCAAGAGGGGTAAGGAGCTGCGCTGAGTGGCGGGGAGCACCGCGCCGCCGCTCCTCCCTGAGACCGCCGTGGGACAGCGCCGCAGCGGGGAGGAGAAGGCGTCCGGGCTGGGTGCCGGGGCGGCAGAAGGGGCGGCGGTAGCGGTGGGGCGGCAGCAGCAGCCGGGGCGTTTTTCCGCCCGCCGGGGTGCTCCACGGAGGCGGGCGGGTGCGGCGGCTTCACCTGTCGGCACTGAGCATGCGCGCGGCGGTGGGGCACACCGCCGATTGGGAGCGCGATGCGAGTCTAGGACGGAGCCGCTGGGCAGCAGCGACTTGGCGCCGTCGCGCCGCCGGAGAGGGGCCGCCGGGGGCCGCTCTCCATGGGATTAGATGCCGCTGCTGCTGCTGCCGCCGCCTCGGACCCTGCTCCCTGCGAGGATCCAGCTCCCGCCCCCGACTCCCGTTGGCTGGGGGGTTCTTTCCCGGAGCTGCAGGCTGCCTTGAGCCGGGCATGACCGGGCGGGTGACGGGGGCAAGCCGTACCTCGCTGCCCCCTCGTCGGGGACCGGGCGGAGGTAGCGCTGCCGGGCTCCCTGCCGCGCCGGGGCGGTGCTGCCCGGCCCTGCCCTGAGGGTCCGGCGGGGCAGAAGCGGGCGGCTCTGCCGCTGGAGCCGCTCTGCGAGGCGGCTGTTGGACCGTTGGCGGGGAACCATGAGGGCAGCGGGGCGGCGGCGGCGGGGCGGCGGGGCGGGGCGGGGGCTCCGCCGGGCTCTCTAGGACTCCGACGCCCCGCACACCCACCATGGATCTGCTGCTGGTGGTGAACACGAGCCTGGGCTCCCCCAACGAGTCCCTGGCGCTGCCGCCTTCCTCGCCGTCCTCTTCCGATCTCCTGCAGCCGCCCTCCCCGTACTCCCCGGCGGCCGTGGCCAGCCTGGCGGCGGTGGTGGGCTTCCTCATTGTCTTCACCATCGTGGGCAACGTGCTGGTGGTGATAGCTGTGCTCACCAGCCGGGCACTGAGAGCACCCCAGAACCTCTTCTTGGTGTCCCTGGCCAGCGCGGACATCCTGGTGGCTACCCTGGTCATGCCTTTCTCCTTAGCCAACGAGCTTATGAATTATTGGTACTTCGGCAAGACTTGGTGTAACATTTACCTGGCGCTGGATGTGCTCTTCTGCACCTCCTCCATCGTCCACCTGTGTGCCATCAGCCTCGACAGGTATTGGTCGGTCACACAGGCGGTGGAGTACAACCTCAAAAGGACCCCCCGGCGGATCAAGGCCATCATCCTCACTGTCTGGCTCATTTCAGCTGTCATCTCCTTCCCTCCATTGATCTCCATGTACCGGGACCCCGAGGGAGACAGTTTTCCCCAGTGCAAGCTGAACGATGAGACATGGTACATCCTTTCTTCTTGCATTGGCTCTTTCTTTGCCCCCTGCCTCATCATGGTGTTGGTCTACATCCGCATCTACCGCGTGGCCAAGCTACGGACCAGGACCCTCTCTGAGAAGCGTACAATGCCAGAGGGGTCCTCCCAGACTGAGAATGGCTTGAGCCGCGTTGCTGGTGGTTGCACATCCGTGAGGATGAAGCTGGGAGAGAATGGACATTATTCAGTGCCCCACTGGCGCAAAGCCTCTGAACTGGAGGACATTGAGCTGGAGGAGAGCAGCACCTCAGAGAGTAGACGGAGGCGGAGCCGGGAGGAGCATCCCCGCAAAAGCAGCAAGAGCCAGTCCTTCTCCTACTCATACTCCTCCAAGCACTCTAGTAGCCGTCTGTCCCGCGCTAGCAATCGCTCCATGCAGTTATTCTCATATCGCCGTCGCCGGAAGCGTAGCAGCATCTGCCGTAAGAAAGTCACCCAAGCCCGGGAGAAACGCTTCACTTTCGTGTTGGCCGTGGTCATGGGGGTCTTTGTAGTTTGCTGGTTCCCTTTTTTCTTCAGCTACAGCCTCTATGGTATTTGCCGGGAGGCGTGTGAGGTCCCTGAGACTCTCTTCAAGTTCTTCTTCTGGATTGGGTATTGCAATAGCTCCCTGAACCCAGTCATCTACACCATCTTCAACCAGGACTTTCGCAGATCCTTTAAACACATTCTTTTTAAGAAGAAGAAGAAGAACTTCTGGCATTGAGCTGGAGGGATGGATTTGCCTTGAGCAGGAGTATAGTTAAAAGAGGAGAAGGCTCTATGCTGACAAAGAAGGGAGGGAAGAGAACATGGGATTTGGGCTCGCCCCCTTGGTGGAGCAGAGTGGTGCTGTGGGGTATAGAGATAGAGCCAGGGAGGCTGAGGGCATTCACAATGGTACAGAATGGTGCTGGCGTGTGAATGGGTAAAAGGGAAGGGGAGTGGTTGTCTTTGAACCCTGATGGAGGGCATGGGGAGTCCACAGAGGAAAATAGGCTGACACTGATTTTGGGAGGCAGTGAGCTTTTACAGGATCTGGAATTTTGTGGGAAAACAAGCAGAGACATCAGGAGGAAAGGATTAAGTGGCAGTGGTGATGAAGATTTGAGTATTTATAAATAGAGCAGCTGGGTCCTGTCTCGTCCCAGTAAGAAATTAGCTTTTACTGCTTATGTGGGCAAAGAAAGTGCAAAGTACCAGGCACTGGCAGTTTTTTGAGTTACAAAAGGATTTAAATGTTTGCCAAAAAAAAAAAAAGTCCTAAAGAACAATCCAAACTCTTTTCTAAATAAACCTTTGTACTGTTAAAACCTTCTGAATGATGATTTTACACAGGGCTTAAGTCAAACAGAAAGCATGGGGGTTTCTTTTCTTTGGAGGGGTCTTTGCGTGTAGAGCTGGATGGGAAACTTTCTATCTTACCATAGTTTTTGATTGGTCAGTGGGACAAACCTGTGAGTTTTGCATGTCTTCGTGAAATATGAAAAGGAGCACATGCACCTTATGACCTTACTTCTCCCTCTTGGATTGCCAGGCAGTAAGATCCATCTCAGATCAGTGTCCTAAGCACCTTGGTGTCCTGAAGCAGGTAGTGGGGGAAAACAAAAATCATTGTTGTGAACTCACCTAATATTTTCTGAGTTAAAATAAAAAAATTCAGATTTCCAACCAGCTCAACTTGCATGTGTCTTGGGGAACTTCCCCCCCTGCCCTCTCTTTTTAGGTTCCCCTCAAAAGGCTTATCTCAGGGGCTGGGTGCGTGCTGCTCTCATCCTCAGACAGGCAGTTGGAGGCAGTCTGCTATGTAGATTTGAAGAGGAGGAGCAATCACCACACCACTAAGGTCTTTAAATCCTTCTTATTTACAGTCTAGAACAACTAAATCCTTTGTATTTATTTTTTTAATGAGAAGCATACATTGCAGATTGTCAGTGGTGTATGAGAACAGATTTCAAAAGAAGGTGCAGCTGTTCCAAACCTTTAATATTAATGTTGCTTTCTTTCCCTTTTGCTGTTTGGATTTCTAGTTTATGATTTCAGAGGATTTTGTTGGGAGCAAGGGAGGGAAGAGGGGAGAAGATATAGTTATTGAATAGTTATTAAAGCAAACTGTATTTCCCGTGAGTTTGTAAAATGTCATGAACTGTAAAGAAGAGGAGGAGAGACAAGGTCTGGTGACTGTACATTCACCACGGAATGCATACCAAGTGTAAGACTCAGCTGAGCATTTACATCCCTTTCCAGCTGTGCTGCTGCAAGGTGTGTATTCTGTTTGTGGGTAAATACTGCTCCATTTTAGGTGTATCTCTCCTTCCATAGGCAGCAGGATTTGGCATCTGCCTGAAATGAACCTTTCCGTAGTAAACAGCTCTTTGAAAGATAGAGCAAATTCTAATCTCATATGGCAGGCTTCTTGAAACAGCTGAATTGAATCTACACCTGAGAATCTTTAGATATCCCCTTCTTTACTCCCTCTGTTCTGTCTGACACGTGTCTGTAGTCTCTCTTATCTTGAAATATCTATGACATAAGGAGAAATGATAGAGCAGTCACTTTGTTTCATCAGTTTTTCATAGTAAGCATTAAGTTCACTTAACCCTAGAAAAGAAGGTTGTCAGTAGCTAAGAGTCTGCTGTTAATTCAACAGACAATTTAACCTCAGGGCCAGCTCAAGTGGGAGTTCTGCAGGCATGAGGATTAGAAGATTGCACCAAATTTTGCTTGATTTCACTAAAGAAACAAATGAGACATTTTCCAAGTCTTGAATCCGTAACTTATTGAATCCTTACTTGATATAAGGCTTGGAGTTGTGAAAAGATTTGAGCTTTGTTTGCACATCTGCACCTAAACAAAGGATGTTAAGACTTATTTTCAGGAGCATCCCTTTGTAAATAGCAAATGGTTTGGTACAAATATGTACCTGAGACAGATAAATAAGAGGAAAAAAAAATAGCAAGGAGGAGGAAATTAAAAGCCATTTCTCTCTTACAAAATGGAGAATTCTTTTTTAAGTTACATCAGGAAGAGC